ATAGATAGATAGATAGATATAGATATATGTAGCTTACAGAAGTTAAAGGTATTTTCGAGGCTTATTTAAGGTGCTTTTTTTAAGGTGTCAAGGTAGCTTTGAGGTTTATTCGAAGTTGATGTCAAAAACAACCTTAAAAGATCAACCTCCCAGGCATATAATTAACGAGATCCATGGAAATCTACTTTAGAGCAACCAGCTTAGGGAGGTTGTTTTTAGGTGTACGAATTATTTTTTTTTTCTCTATACTTCAAGCAAATACGGATATTTGAGATAAGAATAATTTCACCCGATCAAAACTAGAATTTTTTCTGAGTTTTATGTAAGGTTAATTTTTTGAGGCTTAAATTAGTTTTATTAATGAGCTTATTTTTGGTGCAAAACATAACGTCATTTCCTACCTTAGGTGTATTTTTTAACATCTGCCAATCTTAAATCATCCTCAAAAACACCTTATTTTTAGTGAGTTTATAGATATGGTTGAGTACCAAGAGTTGTAGGATCGCATAAGCATTCGTTGATTAGCATCGATGACGTTTGTTTATTTTTGAAACGTCAGACTGCCTTTTACTTTCATAAAACTAAATACTTTTTTTAATATACCCTAATGGCCATTAAAATTGCTACACCAGGGAGGAATTCAAATAATAGAATGATAATTGTTTTAATTTTAATGGTATTAAATGATTTTATTTTTAAAATAAATAAATTAATTACTTGGAATTCGCATGTTTCTTAGAACATCTATTTAAATACTATTTTTAATCAAATGAATAGAATTCAAAGAATACGTTGTAATGTTTATTTATTCAAAAAACAAATAGAATGATAGATTAGAACCCTTTCAAATTTTGATAAAAAAAACAATGGATACCCAACTAAAGTAATTAAACTCTATATGAAATCATTGAGTTAATTGTATATTACTGTGAATAAATTTACAAAAAAACCTCTTTGTTCAATTATATAACTTTTACCATATGCAAATGCATTTCTGGCAAATCCATGGCTGAAATTATGTGCTAAACAGGAAATTTCTGATTCTTTCACTTTTCTATTTTATTTTTTTTTTTTAAATAAAAGTTAATTTTCTAAAATTATTAATTGTCAACTTCTTTAAATTGTCCAATATTATATTACCTTGCGCAGATCCATTTTTGGGTCCATCCTTGGTAACTAACAAATCAAACGCACTTCACTAAGAACGCACTATAAAGCAAAACCCCTCTATTTACGCTTTTACCTCAATTTTCGCTTCTGTTTTTATATTTTGTAATCTGGCAATCTTATTACGAAAATATTTTAAATCATTCATGAAAATTTTCCTGCTCATGTAAGTTCATTTAAAATCGCCACTCGCTTTATAGATTTCATTTTATGTTTAATTCCGTTTTTTCTTTATATTTTATTTCCTGTTTTTACGTGATATTTTTACTTAATATGTTCTATTTTAATTGTTGTAAATTTTCTGTAAAATTTTTTCGAATGTTCCTCACACTATTGTATTGATATATTTTGCTTTAGCTATATTATTACAATATTAGAAAGCACTCCTTTTTACGGATATCATCGTATGAGCTGATGAAAAGATTATATCTTTTATTTCAGGAGTTTAATTAATTTTTTTCCTTTTTTTCGAATTTTTTTTAATTAATTTTTCCCTTCTTTCAATACTCTGGTATTTCTCCATGCTTTCTCCACATTTTGAACTTATGTATACAGAAAAATTGAACTAAAACTAATATATATAGAAAAATTGAATTGAGCAAAAAATCAGTCACCCTTAGGGATAACACGAAAAACATAATTTAAT